TCATTAGGACTCCGCCACAATCCTAATGGTAAAGTTAGATTGGATTGTTTGTCGGTAAATCATTTGTTGTTAAACTGTTAGTGACTCCGCTCCAAGCCCCTGCTGTGACACACACACACACACACACACACACACACACACACACACACACACACACACACACACGAAAATAATCCTCTTTTCTCTTGTGTTTACATATGTGCATGAATGTACGTACATAGAGATCCAGGTAAATGTAATTATCTTAATGTTTAATTATTAATGACTCGTGTGTTTAGTAATGTAGAATACTCGCTTAGAGACCTTCAACAACAACAAATCTAACCTAACCTAACAAATAATAAGGCTTTTCACCTAACCAATGGTAAGATTTTCCGCCCGCACCTTCACAAATGGCCTGAAAAACTCGGTGAAAAAGAAGAGGAGATATTTGTATGTCCCAAGGTAGTGAATGTTGCCTACTACACTGAGAAGAGAGGGATAGAGAGAGACCGAGGGAGTGGAGAGAGAGAGAGGAGGAAAAGAAGGGAAAGACAGAGAAGTGAGAGAAAGGAAAATAAAGATAGAAAAGAAGATAGAGAGAAAGAGAACGAAATGAAGAGAAACAGGATAAAATATAGATTAAAGAAACAAAAGTAGGAAAATAAGAAAGATTAGTATTTGTTTCATCATTTATGGTAACACAACGGAGGTGATGAGGCTGCCAGGTGACAGAGGCAGGAGACGCACTGGGTAATAGTCTTGACAGATCACCAACCAAAACACGCTCCGTTAAATGACGTCCTCGAAAAAAAAAAAAAGATAACGTGAACATTAACCTAACCTAACCTAACACTAACTGTGAGGTTAGGTTAAGTTAGGTTTCGTTGGGTTAGGTTAAGTTAGAGTTAGGTTGTTTAATCATGAGGTGAAATAAACTGAGGTGCCTAATCTCCGCATGATTGGAAAATAATAAGACTAATGGAGCCTTATGAGTAAATAAAATAATAACTTCACGTCAATAATTTGTGAAATTAAAACCAACGATGCAGAAAATTATTGTTACTGAATTGATAAAGTTAGATTAAAAAGGTTCACCTGCTTATTTCACCTAAAGATTAACCACCCTAATGCTAACCTAACCTAACCTCCAATGACAACGTTAATTTGTGTAAATCATCAGGTGAAATAAGCTGGGGGAGCTAATCTTCAGGTGATCCTTAAAAACTTTATATATAAGTTTATTGTCGTCTTGTCTGGGTATTATAATGGGATTACTTTATTGTACGATAATAACAGTATTACGTCAGTTTACAGCAGGTGGAAGTTTTTTCTGTACTCCGCTGGTCGAGCTGAAGGGAGGACTGTGGTTACGAGGCCCTTGTATAGATCTGTATAATGTAAACAACACTGTTACTGTGCGTCTGTGGGCCTAGAAATTTGTGATATTTAACACTGAAATTTGTAGTTGCCAAGTCATTGATTTTGGGGCCATAACAAGGTCAATATTTTGCAAACATTAATTGTACAGTATTTATTAATTGGTCTGTTTTTTCGTGTAATTTATTTAGTTATTTGTTTAATTTTATTTATTTACTTATTTATTTTATTTATTTAGTTAGTTTAATTGATTAAATCTATATTTAACGTTTGAAGCAGATATTTTCAAACTTTCAAATTACAATTCTGAAAGTTTAAGAAAAAAATCACTTATTTTGGTCAAGACTGATCATAAGTCAAGGTAACATGACACTTGACCCATGACACTAAAGGTCAGTTATGGTGGTGCAGAACCTGTCGGGTACCGCCTGCCTCCTGTAATTACTGTAGCTTGCATCTTTGTGGTAATCTTAATACAGGTTCTGTTCTTAACCTTGCTGCCATATTAAGGGATCTGTCCCTGACCTTGCTGTGCGTGATCAAGGTCGTCAACTTGAAGCTCACAGAGTAATAGGTCATTAGTGAACTACAAGTTGTTGCTCTTCAGACTGCAGCGTTAGATTCCCAGACTTGATGTAAAGAATTTTCCCGAAGTAATTTTGTCCTCGGCTGCCTCTTGTGTTTGGCTGAAACTCAGGATCAAAGGCTAATGAGCATTCACTGTTGTGCTTATAACTCCGGGTTCACCTACATACGTCTCCAGGATCACTTAATACGTGTTGCTTCAAGTGTTTTCAAACGACGGTCCCTCCTGTGGTGGTGACGCACTTCATACTCTTAACACGTCTAACAATCTTTTAGGGGTCGCTGGTTCCATCATGGGGCACTCCCAGTCCACCCAGCTGTAAATAGGTACCTGACTTTACAAGATGGGAAGAATGCAGAGCCGACCATTCTGCCTCGTTGTGTACCGAAGATCTAGTGTACAGTGTGCTGTAGAGGCTGTCACGCCTATGGGACCCACGGTTTATGGTTTCCGTGATTAAAGACGCAGTTGTTGAAGCACACACACACACACACACACACACACATATATATATATATATATATATATATATATATATATATATATATATATATATATATATATATATATATATATATATATATATATATATATATATATATATTAGATACAGTGTGTGTGTGTGTGTGTGCTTGCCAGTATTTTTGCTGACACCAACTGTAGGAGCATCGAGGCTACCATTTTCCATGAACAACTACGTTGGACTGGTCATGTTACCCACACGGACGACAGTAGACTGCCAAAGCAGCTACTTTACAGTCACCTAATGAATAGTAAACGTAACGCTGGTGGGCAACTGAACAGGTATAAGAATAGTCTTAAGACAAACCTGAAAAAGTGCCAAATCGACCCCCTCACCTGGGAGACGATCACTCCACACCGTAACTCTTGGAGGAGCACCACACAAGGTGTCGATACTTCCGAGTTAGCCTGACTGCATAATGAGGCAGACAAGCGCCAATGCCGGAAAGCGATGCTGCCGTCCCTCCCGCACTAAATGTAGGCCCCCACATGTGTAACATCTGTGATCGACCCTGCCGGTCCCGTATCGGCCGCTTTAGTCACCTCAAAGCTCGCCAACCTAGGTGGCATCCTTAATAACTCGTATCATTGTATCATAGGTGGATGATCGTCATACTCGATTCCGAGTGACAGCAAAGTAGTAGTAGTAGTAGTAGTGTGTGTGTGTGTGTGTGTGTGTGTGTGTGTGTTGTGTGTGTGTGTGTGTGTGTGTGTTCCATATAGAATTATGCAGTTTTCAACATAGACTGATGAAATTTGGTAGAGAGTGGCAGGTGAATTTTGGAGTACGATACCTGAAGGCCATTGAGTACGACGACTGAAGCCCTTTGGCTATGGCGACTGAAGCTCCTTGATTACTACAACTAAAGGATCTTGCGTACGACGACTGAAACTCATGAATATGACGACTTAAATGACGAATTAAACCCCTGATTGAAAACAGTCACATTAACACAGTGCCAGTAGCATAGTTCAAAGTCCAAGTAGAATTTAGACACGAATATTGGTAAGACCATTTCATCTTTGACGTCACAGCTGGCATGACGTCACGCATACTCGCGTAAGAGGATTATTTAGTGTTGGGAAGTCTCTCTTGCAGGTTAGTGTGGGTTTGTAATACTGATTTATTTCATGGATGTGTACACAGCTCCGTGGCTTTAAGACGTATCCCTTTGTCCCGTCCGTTGTTCAGTACACATACAGTAGTTGGGTCCCTCCCTGGGGCCTCCCAAAGTGAAGCAGTATCGATCCCAATTGATAAAAACACACACACACACACACACACACAGACACAGACACACACACACACACACACACGCTAAGCGATAATAACCAGTCATTAATGACAACACAAGCACTTAATAACACACACGAGGATAACTTAATTAATCTTCACCTCTTTATATAACTTCCTGTAATTATGTCTCGTCTCCAGGAATAATAATGTGCACAGTTAAGGTTATTGAATCACTTAAGGATCTGACCCTCAGGTTGTTTCACCTTGAAGATGAATCACCCAAAGGCTAACCTAACCTAACCTATTCTAATATAACCTAACCTAAGTTAATGTAATCTAACCTAACTTTATAAAACCTAACTTAATATAACCTATCCAAACTTTCTTATTTGCTACACTATCTCCCTTTATAACCGATGTGTGTTCGTGTTCATATTTAGGACAAGTTAGATAATACGTATTTTCCCTCCGTAACTTGGGTGAATTATGGACCGTCGTGCTGTCATGGTAACAGGGACGAACTCCGACTTTAGGGATGTTATTCAGTTAATTTTCAAGACTTAAGCTCGTTGTTTTAATATGAGCAAAATTGTAACCCCGTCATAGGGAAGTATCGTACAGTGCTTGTAACGGGGTGCTCTTGATACTTATGTTATTCCATGGTTGTTTTATATAATTTGTCAGTTTTAAAAGTTTTGTGATTTTTTTTACATTGTTTTTAGTTTGGAATTATTGATATTTATGCATATGTGAATGATCCATAAAGTGTGTGTGTGTGTGTGTGTGTGTGTGTGTGTGTGTGTGTGTGTGTGTGTGTGTGTGTGTGTGTGTGTGTGTGTGTGTGTGTGTGTGTGTGTGTGTGTGTGTGTGTGTGTGTGTGTGTGTGTGTGTGTGTGTGTGTGTGTGTGTGTGTGTGTGTGTGTGTGTGTGTGTGTGTGTGTGTGTGTGTGTGTGTGTGTGTGTGTGTGTGTGTGTGTGTGTGTGTGTGTGTGTGTGTGTGTGTGTGTGTGTGTGTGTGTGTGTGTGTGTGTGTGTGTGTGTGTGTGTGTGTGTGTGTGTGTGTGTGTGTGTGTGTGTGTGTGTGTGTGTGTGTGTGTGTGTGTGTGTGTGTGTGTGTGTGTGTGTGTGTGTGTGTGTGTGTGTGTGTGTGTGTGTGTGTGTGTGTGTGTGTGTGTGTGTGTGTGTGTGTGTGTGTGTGTGTGTGTGTGTGTGTGTGTGTGTGTGTGTGTGTGTGTGTGTGTGTGTGTGTGTGTGTGTGTGTGTGTGTGTGTGTGTGTCACTTCCCATTCTGCTTACCAGTCCTCAGTTTCGGCTGCCAGATTATGCTTGATGGCCATCGTATAATGAGGGACGAGTACAGTGGCCCCAGAGTACAAGTGGTCCCAGAGTACAGTGGTCCCAGAGTACAGTGGTCCCAGGAGTACAGTGGTCCCAGGAGTACAGTGGCCCCAGAGTACAGTGGTCCCAGAGTACAGTGGTCCCAGAGTACAGTGGTCCCAGAGTACAGTGGCCCCAGAATAGTGGCCCCAGAGTACAGTGGTCCCAGAGTACAGTGGCCCCAGAGTACAGTGGCCCCAGAGTACAGTGGCCCCAGAGTACAGTGCCCCGAGTACAGTGGTCCCAGAGTACAGTGGTCCCAGAGTACAGTGGTCCCAGAGTACAGTGGTCCCAGAGTACAGTGGCCCCAGAGTACAGTGGTCCCAGAGTACAGTGGTCCCAGAGTACAGTGGTCCCAGAGTACAGTGGCCCCAGAGTACAGTGGCCCCAGAGTACAGTGGTCCAAGAGTACAGTGGCCCCAGAGTACAGTGGTCCCAGAGTACAGTGGCCCCAGAGTACAGTGATCCCAGAGTACAGTGGTCCCAGAGCAGTGGTCCCAGAGTACAGTGGTCCCAGAGTACAGTGGCCCCAGGGTACAGTGGCCCCAGAGTACAGTGGCCCCAGAGTACAGTGGTCCCAGAGTACAGTGGCCCCAGAGTACAGTGGTCCCAGAGTACAGTGGTCCCAGAGTACAGTGGTCCCAGAGTACAGTGATCCCAGAGTACAGTGGTCCCAGAGTACAGTGGCCCCAGAAGTACAGTGGTCCCAGAGTACAGTGGTCCCAGAGTACAGTGATCCCAGAGTACAGTGGTTCTAGGGAGAGTACAGTGGTCCCAGAGTACAGTGATCCCAGAGTACAGTATCCCAGAGTACAGTGGCCCAGAGTACAGTGGCCCCAGAGTACAGTGGTCCCAGAGCAGTGGCCCCAGAGTACAGTGGTCCCAGAGTACAGTGGTCCCAGAGTACAGTGGTCCCAGAGTACAGTGATCCCAGAGTACAGTGATCCCAGAGTACAGTGGTCCCAGAGTACAGTGGTCCCAGAGTACAGTAGTCCCAAGATTTACTTTGCAAAACTTGTGCTTCGTGTTTACCTCTCTCTCTCTCTCTCTCTCGTAGTTCATAATACTTCTCTAGATATAATTTCTTGACTAATACTTGTTTTATCAGTAAGTCTCTGGTCGTCACACACAGACGATATATTTCCTGTTGTACAAACATACTGTAATTACTGTATTGTTGTAGATGCACACGTTTTAATCTGTGTACTTAAGGGAAGAAATATATAAAGTTAATGACAGCATTCCCAAGGAGGCTTATCGTTACCGCCAAATATTCTCAGAAGCCATGGAAAGACATTGGCCTTCATACTGACCTGACCTAAGAGGGGTTACTCATAACAAAGGGCAACATGTCACCCCTCGCTAGTACTAATGTATCTTATATAGAAGATGAAACCCATAAAACTACTACGGCAGAGATGGTTAAGAGACACAACTCGCCCACACTGGTGATATTTGAAAGAGAAAAATCCCAGTTGAAGGACAACGTTCACTGTGAGAGATGAAAGTCTGTCTCTGTTGTGAGAAAAAAATATTTTTTTTACTGAACCATCGTTGAGTGTGATGGAGGATAACATTGTTCTCATAATAATTATTAAGTGAAATTATTATATACATTTATATTGATTCATCATGTATCTAGACAATGCAGGTATACAGTTCGGCACATACAGTAATATAGACAATGGTACCTTTACGAAGTGAATAGCTCCTCGCTGTTGGTGTTTCCCGACAATTCTCAAAACAATCTTTCGTAAATGAAATGAAATTTGAAATCACTCCGGAAAAATTCTAATTTAATTTGCATGTAGAAAGTTTCATAATTTGTTTTGGGATAGTTTCTCCTGGGCGCTGCCTGATACGTTAAGGGGAATTATTAACATAACTTCTCCAAAGGAAAGATAACTTAGAAAAATCTTAGCAAAAAGCTCTTCAAGAAACTGCTACCAGCCATGATTAGTGTATATATATATATTACATCAGCAGCAGTATTATCAAAATCGTGCCTCCGTACGTATGTCACGAGTCACTAATAATAACGGCCTTCACAACCCCTTTAAAGATGGCGGCCTTCACAACCCCTTTAAAGATGGCGGCCTTCACAACCCCTTTAAAGATGGCGGCCTTCACAACCCCTTTAAAGATGGCGGCCTTCAAAACCCCTTTAAAGATGGCGGCCTTCAAAACCCCTTTAAAGATGGCGGCCTTCAAAACCCCTTTAAAGATGGCGGCCTTCACAACCCCTTTAAAGATGGCGGCCTTCACAACCCCTTTAAAGATAGATGGCGGCCTTCACAACCCCTTTAAAGATGGCGGCCTTCACAACCCCTTTGGCGATGGCCTTCGGCGATGGCGGCCTTCACAACCCCTTTTGGCGGCTTCACAACCTAAAGATGGCGGCCTTCACAACCCCTTTAAAGATGGCGGCCTGATGGCGGCCTTCACAAAGATGGCCCTTCTTTAACGGCCTTCTTTAAAGATGGCGGCCTTCACAACCCCTTTAAAGATGGCGGCCTTCACAACCCCTTTAAAGATGGCGGCCTTCACAACCCCTTTAAAGATGGCGGCCTTCACAACCCCTTTAAAGATGGCGGCCTTCACAACCCCTTTAAAGATGGCGGCCTTCACAACCCCTTTAAAGATGGCGGCCTTCACAACCCCTTTAAAGATGGCGGCCTTAATAAAACACCAAGTTACAACACTGGTAATGACAAAATTTTTGGTTAGGTCAAGGGTCGCCTTCAGTGATCAGGGGAGACTGAAGCAGTGTTGGTTTGTCACGTTAAAGATGAAGTGTCTGTTTGGGTCAACTTTGTGGCGATTGACTACGTTTAAGTTAGGTTAGGTGATATGAAAAAGTCATGGGACTAAGATTGGGTTAGGTTAAGTTCGCTTAGGTTATGTTTATTTAGGTTAGATTAGTTTAGATGAGATGAAAATACCGTGGGACTAAGGTGATGTGAGATTAAGTTAGTTTAGGTTATATTTAGTTAAGTTGGGTTAGGTTAGGTTAAGTTAGGTGAGATTACGTTAGGTTAGGTTAACTTAAGTAAGGTAAGGTGAGAAAGCCATGGGACTGAAATCGTATTTGGTTAAGTCAGGTCAAATTAGTTTAGGTCAGGTCAGGTTAAGTGAAATGACAAAAGAGTTGTTGTTACTCTATACACACACACACACACACACACACACACACACACACACACACACACGCGCGCGCGCGCGCGCGCGCGCGCGCGCAGTTTTCCTTCAGTGAGACAAGACAGGTCCTGTAGGTGTTCCTGATTGGTTGCCAGGCCAAGTCTATTTCCCCTCCCCCCCTTCTGCTCCATCCCGACTCCCTACCAACCTCACTACACCGGGATTTATCAGCAAAACATTCAAGTGATCAGTGCGGTGATTGGTTACCAAACAGTGACCCAATAATGTATTCCAAGGAAAAACACAAACACAAGCGTGATTCACAGCAGTGTAATACCAGGCCGTGGGCACTTTGTTGGTCACCTGTAAAGTGCCAGAGACAAGGACCACCGCGGTGTTTACATATATCGTGGGTACTGTGTCGGCGACCCTTAAGAGCCAGAGACAAGGACTCGCGGGGTCTGCCACAGGACAAATATTAACGGATGTCTACCAGTGTCAGTGGCCCTCAAAGCGCCACCATTGAGGTTATGGCCACCACGGACAAGCACTTCTGTCTGACCACAACAACACACATCAACAGATGTCCACCAGTGACGTACTCCAGGCGTGCCTTGTACAGTTTAAAGCATGGGAACAGATATCCCGATGGCAGTGTTATTGAGCTAATAAAATCATTGAACATATTCCATGCTCGCAGCCATAGACAAGAACGTCATAAACAGGGCACATCAGTAGGTGTTAATATCCTCGAGTCTTAGCTTTTTCAATTTTGCAAATTGTTCGTTAGTGTGATCATTTTTTTTTCAAGTAGGTCATTGTGCATTCAACTCTCTTCTGTGCAATGATCAGGGGATATGTTTTGGTAGAGCCGGAGGCCCCCATAGTGTGTGACAGTGTATCAGGTGTTGGTAAACAAGATCATGATGGATTTCTCTCATTGCTGTAGGAGTGAGTGACTGACAAGTGTGATACAGGAAACTGTACTGTTTAGTGACTTTATTGTGAATGGCGTGTATCTGGATAAGGGTCGGCCGTCTCTTATCCTGACGCCCCAAGTTTGTTCATAACCAGGACGTATTGTGGTCCTTCCCCTCACTCACCCCTTCCCTTCACCCACTCCTTTCCCCTCACTCCACCCCCCTTCCCTTCACCCACTCCTTTCCCCTCACCCACCCCTTCCCTTCACCCACCCCTTCCCCTCACCCACCCTTTCCCCTCACCGACCCCTTCTTCTCTCCCTCACCTTGCCTACCTCTTATCCTCCCCACGTCTCTCTTACCTATAACTTCTTCCTTACCTTTCTCTCTCTTTCTCTCCCTCCCTTCCTCCTTACCTACTCCTCTCTCCCTAACCTCCCTTCTTTCCCTGTTCTTTATCGTTCTCTTTATTCCTCCCATCTTTACTCTCTCTTCCCTTCTTCCGATCTTCTTCCCTGTCCTCCCTCTCTCTGCTACTTCCTTCCCTTTACCCCCTTTCCTTTCATCTCTTTCCCCTTCCCTTCTCTGACCTCCTTCACAATCCCATTTGCTCTGTCTCCACCTCCTATTATCCTCTCCTCCTGTCACCTTCCTCTCATTCTCTCCTACTCCTCTCTTCCCTCCTCCTCCTCCTCCTCCTCCTCCTCTCCTCTACAACCACCCCTCCTCTTCTAGCCTTTCTCTCTCTCTCTCTCTCTCTCTCTCTCTCTCTCTCTCTCTCTCTTTCTCTCTCTCTCACTCTCACTCTTCTCTCCTATTCTCTCCTATTCTCTCCCTTCTCTCCTCTCACCATCCTCGTCTCCTCTCACCCTTCTCTCCTTTCATCTCCCTTCCTCCCTGCCAACGCCTCAGCCACACTAAGTTGCACAATACTTTCCACACCATCTCCCTCGTGCTGCCCTACACCTTACAAACTTTGCTCACAACACCCTCTGGTATATACCATAAAGCACCACCGCCACCACGAGAATCCCGGCGATGGTGCGTCTGGCGTTGTGGTGTGGTGGGAGGAGACGTGAAGAGTAGTGAATGCCCACACTAGCGTTTGTTTATGGTATGGACCTTATGCTGGTGTAATCACGTTTAATCCTTTCACCTCAATAAAGCAGAACAATCACTACTGCCTCCCACACTTGATACTGCTGCTGCTGCTCTGACACCACACACACACACACACACACACACACACACACACACACACACACACACACAACCTTTCACCCTACCACCTCAGCCTACCGTGTGTTTCATCTCTCTCTCTCTCTCTCTCTCTCTCTCTCTCTCTCTGGCTCATACCATAAAAGACCACCCTTGCAGGTGTACAAGACGAGCGATCGTTCGTCTGGCGTAGCGACCATGACCGTGTCATTGTAGGATGGATGGGATCACCAGGCGCTGCTTATTGCGCTTGCTAGCGAAGAGTTTTTTTTTACTACGCTAACGCGTTTGTTTATAATCTCCTCTAGATCACTGTAGCTCTCATACCCCTGTTGAGAGAGTAACCGAAGCTCTCTCTCTCGTACTCACCTCTCACTGTCTTCATCTACAGTACTCTCATCTACCCTTCACCTCTCACTGTCTTCATTCTCTCTCTCTCTCTCTCTCTCTCTCTCTCTCTCTCTTGTCATTTGACTTTATTT